CCTTGGCCTTCCTAATGGCCCTCCTACACTCACGGGCCAAGAAGGAGTATTCCTCCTTCGTGCTAGCCCCTCTCTTTCACCAGGTCTACGCCTCCCTTTTGGCCCTCAGGCATTCTCGAATGCCTTTGCTGAGCCATGGGGGTTTCAGAGCACTCTTACCCCCTTCTTTCTCTCAGGGATTGTCACACTCTGAGCCTGGAGGATCATCCCCTTAAGGTACGACCATCCCTCATGGATTCCCATCTCCTCTACCTTTTGGGACCTCAGTGCCTCCCCCACTAATCTCCTAAATTCGTTGAAGTTGGCCCTTCTGAAGACAGGGTCTTTAGTCTTGGTATAAGCCCTCAACACCCTGTGCTGGATGGTGAATTCCAGCAGGCGATGATCAAGCACCTGCAGGTGGTCAAGCACCTGCAGTCCCCTCACCAGGTCATCCCCAGTGGCCAAGGCCAGGTCCAGCAAGGCATCTCCCCTAGTGGGGCTGTGCACCTCCTGATAAGGTGGAGGTCTTGTATTTCACCTATGCGAATGGTCAGACCTGGCTGACTGCTCCTCCCAGCAGATATCTGGGTAGTTTAGGTCCCCCATGACAACAACATCCCTAGACCCAACTGCCTCCATAAGCTGTACTGAGAAATCATGGTCCATCTCAACCCCTTGGCAGGGTGGTCTATAGTAGACACCCACCGTAAGATCCCTTTTGCCTTGCCCCCCTTGAAGTTTGACCCATAGTGCCTCTGCCTGACCTTTCTCTGCCCCAAAGCTAATTCTTGACAATGTGAGTTGCTCTTTGACATAGAGGGTGACCCCCCCACACCTTTCCTCCCAGTCCTGTCCCTTCTATATAGCGTGTATCCCTGGAGTAAGGTTGGAGTGTTGTAGCTGTGATGGTCCAGGAAATGTACAAGAGACAAGGGTGATCTGTTTTTGGTGATCTCTTTTATTGCACCAGATGTATGGAAGCTTATCAAACATCTCTCCCAGGTATACAGTTGGTCCAATAGAAGAGATTAAAAAAACCCTTTCCTTAGAATCAGTAAGGCCAAATTTTTCAGAAGTTCTGTGCCACTGGCTAGAGGGTCAAAGAAGATTTGAAGGCAAAGTGGATTCTCCAAGCTCACTGGTTGCCCCCAAGTGTTCCAAACAAATATTGCAAGTGTGGCTGCAGCCAAGGAACACTAGGCAAGAAGCCTGCCTAGTAGGTAAAGCAAGGAATAGAGGTGAGATGTGGATCTCTGAGCAAGACTGGTTTGGGAAATGAGGAATCCAGTGAAACAACTGCATCTACTTGGTTTCAAACAGTTCCTTTAAAACAGCAGTAGGCAACATTTTTTCAACAGTGGGTCAGAATGACCCAGCTCAGGTCCAAGGCAGCTGTGCACTAAGACCCAGTAGCCACTGCTGCTGCTTTCCCTGCTGTTTGGGCCTAGTACATCACAAGTGAAGCTTCCAGCAGCCCAACTACTGTGCCACAGTGCAGGTAAAGCCCTGTGGGCCATAGGTTGCCAACTCCTGATTTCAATGATTATACTAAAGGCAGAAGAAGGTTTATTTGATGCTCAAGTATTCTCCAACTGGTCTTACGACAACCAGGTTGTCCCTTCTGCTTTTTAGGAAAGCTTTGCAGATCAAGCAGTGCAAAATGGAGCATCAGTTATGTGAGGCGATTTATATTATCGGGCTACATTGGCACCCTCCACTTCCAAGTCAACCTCCTCTCCATAGGGTGACCATCACTTCAAAAGGGGAGGGTGGGACACATGCCTACCTTCCTCCTCCCTCTGCTAGCACAACTAGACCAGAGCCAAGTGGAGCAGGGGGAGGATGCAGACTGCCTGCTGAGGGCTCCAGGCTCCCTGCCCTGCTACCTTTCCCTCAGGAGCCCCACACCGGACAAGTGCCTCCTGCCTGCCCGGCAGCAGCGGGGGACATAACTCCATGCTACTGCTGCCACCCCCACTGCTGCTGGGCAGGCAAGGGGCGCATCCCCATGACTAGCGCAGCGTACCTGGGGGCAGGGCATCAGGTTGGGGAGCCCCAAGCCCACAGTGGGCAGCCTGCATCCACCCCCACCCCACGCATGAGTCTGGGGGGTATGTGCCCCCCACCCATGTCTTTCAGCTCAACGATTTCATGTAGCAATTAAAAATGTAAAAGCCAATAGGAAATTCCCCCTTTCCCATCCTCAAATAGCTCTTACAGATTCATAGACATTAGGGCTGGAAGGCATCTTGAAGATCATGAAGTCCAGCCCTCTGCCCCAGGAGCAGGAAGTCAGCTAGGATCAAAGGATCCCAGCATGATAAGCATCCAAACGTTTCTTGAATGAGTCCAGAGTAGGTGCCTGCACCACTTCTGGAGGGAGTCTATTCCAGGCCTTGGGGGCTCGGACAGTAAAGAAGTTTTTCCTTATGTCCAGCCTAAAACAGTCATGGAGGAGTTTATTGGTCCTTGCTATCTTTTGGGGTGCTCTGGTGAACAGACGTTCCCCCAGATCCTGATGCACATCCCTTACGTATTTATAGGCAGCCACAAGATCACCCCTGAGCCTGCACTTTTCTAGGATGAAGAGTCCCATGGCTCTCAGCCTCCTATCATAAGGCCTATTCTCTTGCCCTCTGATCATGCGCGTGGCTCTCTTCTGGACTCTCTCAAGCTTCTCGGCATCCTTGAATGCTGGAGCCCAGAACTGGATGCAGTACTCCAGCTGCAGCCTCGCCAAGGCCAAGTAGATTCATAGATTCATAGATTGTAGAGTCGGAAGGGACCACAATGGATCATCGTGTCCGACCCCCTGCCCCTGGCAGGAAAGAGGACCGAGGTCAGATGACCCCAGCCAGGTGACTATCTAGCCTCTTCTTGAAGACCTCCAAGCTAGGTGATAGCACCACCTCTCTTGGAAGCCCATTCCAGATCCTGGCCACCCTTACTGTGAAAAATGTCTTCCTAATATCTAACCTAAATCCACTCTCAACTAGTTTACACCCATTATTCCTAGTCACTCCCTGGGGCGCCTTAGTA